ACAGATATGCCAAAACACATGTGCAGCATTTATAAAACAGCACAGAAAAGTTAATGTGCTAAGTTGAATTCAGTGTTTAGGATTTCCTGTACTGGTAAGGATACATTAAAATCAGATAATATTCTTTAAATTAGTATTTTCTTCTGTAAAACCCCCCAAATAATCATAATTTAAGATTGAACATGGTTTGTTTCTGTAATTGGGCCCATGATGCCAGAAGATATGCTACCTTCTACCTTTATTTCAAATTAGTTTAATAGTAGATCCAGGCCAACATATTTCTTATCAGTGTAAGATTATGTAGAAAGTGAATTAGTGAATCTTGAGTTCTTAAGAGAATACTTGCTCATAATGCTTTGCCTGCGACCTAAAAAACATTTGCTGATTGGTCCTCTTCCTACTTTTAGTGTGAGTCTAAAGTTAAAATCTGATTGGTTACGACCACGCCGGTTAGAAGTATGAGCTTTCTGTGTAGCAAAAGGTAAAAGGGTTCTTCAGAGAGCAGTATCCTTGTTGGTTTAATTACGTTTTATTGTCTATAACCACCAAGGACACCATTTCAAGTCCTTACAGAATATTTGCAATACTGAATGAACTACTTAAAATCCTCACATNGCTGTGTTTATTTAGTTGAAAGCCCAGTGGCGATCTGCTCATCTCTCATCGAAATAATATGCTAAAAGTTCAACACACAGATGGCCAGTCCGCCCCTTTGTAGCATATTATTTCGATGAGAGATGAGCAGATCGCCACTGGGCTTTCAACTAAATAAACACAGCCACGCAAAAACTGCGTCATTTGTACAGCTCCTTATGGGTACTGAAATTAGTGAAGTGCTTTCCTCCGTGGTGAAATGATCACGGAGGAAAGCGGCAGAAAGTCACCTGGAGATAAAGAGAGCGGGGCTGCGTTGCGTGCATGGCTTCCTTCTGCAGGTAACGGGGAGACGCGCTCTGGCGGCGGTCTCGCGTTCAGGATCCACGAATTAATTTAAATATTTTGCACATTTATTCCACTTATTCCTAGTGTGCCACTGGTTACGGTGCCGCGTGCCAATGCTGGCACACGTGCCAGGGGTTGCCGACCCCTGGCATAGGCAGTATAGGCAAATGCTAAGGGCGCATCAACCCATGGGGGGCGCCAGCTAAAATCTTGCCTAGGGCAGGAAATTGGTCAGGGCCGGCCCTGTGCATAACTTTCAATCAGCTTAAATTCAGTAAAACAGGAAGTACGGTTCAAAGAGTGGGAGTAGAAAGGCATGCCATTACTTTTAAGGTTTACACAACTGATTGATTCCTAACTTCTAATTGGCCAGCACTGAACCCAACACCTTGAACAGACACCCCTAACATGGTGACAGGTCTAAAACCACTTTGCCAATAAGCTAATTATCACCTTTTCCTTTCCAACTGGTTCAGTCCAATTATTTTTGTATGTATTTTGCATGACATTTAAATGTGAAAGTTGTAGCCTACTGTTAAACTACAAGGGACTGGCCTTTTGTGGTTCTGATTGATTCCAGTATTTAAACCGATTTTACTTTTGGACAATTTAGAGAACTGATTTGCATTGTGTTAGGCATATTTATGAGAATAATAAAATAATTACATGGCATTTGTGAACAAAATTATTAGTTTTATCGATTTAGTTTTACTTTTGGACAATTTAGAGATCTGATTTGCATTGTGTTAGGCATATTTATGAGAATAATAAAATAATTACATGGCATTTGTGAACAAAATTATTAGTTTTATCGATTTAGTTTTACTTTTGGACAATTTAGAGAACTGATTTGCATTGTGTTAGGCATATTTATGAGAATAATAAAATAATTACATGGCATTTGTGAACAAAATTATTAGTTTTATCGATAAAGCAATATAAAGACTGAATGCTTAGATTCTGGCCCCAGTTGTCAAGACAGTGTCCAATTTCTAAATGCAATAAATCAAATCCTCCTTATATAATGCTTCTTTAAAGGATAAATATTTGGCTCAGTTTTCTATTTAATAACTTAAAAAAATTAACAACATTTAAAGACATGATACTTTAAAGTGATGCAAGTTTTGTGTATTCGCATCCTGTTGCTAAAGTGAGATGACATAAAAGTAAATGTGTTGTTATTCAGCATGCCGAAAGAGGAGTCCCAGAAATACTAAGCAAGGACATGTCTCCTCCTGCCTTCAAATCTGCAGAAATGTGTATTAACAGGTCTGATATCATGTATGTGTTAACTGATATTTATTTGTGTGTGCAGGTTGGTCCGCATTCCACCTAGCCAAGATACAAGGCCAAATATTATCAGTTTGGGTCGCCAATAATCAAATCAAATCAAGTTTTATTTATATAGAACATTTATAAACGATTTTTGGTCGAGCCAAAGTGCTGTACATATAATAAAAATAGCCTACAGTAGAGAAACTTTACAGCAAATACAACAGCACAGATTGTTCAGAATATCAGTATGAGAAAAACGACACCCTCTATCCTTAGACCCTCACATCGTACAAGGAAAAACTTCCGGAGAAGGTTTTTTATTTGATGTATTGAAAGGGTTAGGCCAGAGTAAAGGACAAAGGGAAGAGAGCCCTGATTGTGTATACAATACATGTACAGTGGGGCAACAAAGTATTTAGTCAGCCACCAATTGTGCAAGTTCTCCCACTTAAAAAGATGAGAGGCCTGTAATTTTCATCCTAGGTATACCTCAACTATGAGAGACAAAATGAGAAGAAAAAAAAGATCCAGAAAATCACATTGTCTGATTTTTAAAGAATTTATTTGCAAATTATGGTGAAAAATAAGTATTTAGTCAATAACAAAAGTTCATCTCAATACTTTGTTATATACCCTTTGTTGGCAATGACAGAGGTCAAACGTTTTCTGTAAGTCTTCACAAGGTTTTCACACACTGTTGCTGGTATTTTGGCCCATTCCTCCATGCAGATCTCCTCTAGAGCAGTGATGTTTTGGGGCTGTCGCTGGGCAACACAGACTTACAACTCCCTCCAAAGATTTTCTATGGGGTTGAGATCTGGAGACTGGCTAGGCCACTCCAGGACCTTGAAATGCTTCTTACGAAGCCACTCCTTCGTTGCCCGGGCGGTGTGTTTGGGATCATTGTCATGCTGAAAGACCCAGCCACGTTTCATCTTCAATGCCCTTGCTGATGGAAGGAGGTTGTCACTCAAAATCTCACGATACATGGCCCCATTCATTCTTTCCTTTACACGGATCAGTCGTCCTGGTCCCTTTGCAGAAAAACAGCCCCAAAGCANGTGTGCCTTGGCAGTCTCAGGTGACATAACTTATGTCACAGCTGAACTTTCACACTCAATTTACTGATATCATTTATAATACTTTGCAATAGATTTACAACCATCAAACAATAAAAGCTTGCAGGCATTACAATTATTTCCTGTGATGCGACAAGTATGAACTGTAAAAGTCTGTCTCGCAGATCATGTCATGCTTATAGTTCACCCTTCAGTGCCCGGTCATGGTCAGCACTAGTGTGCACTTTGAGGTAATGTACGTAAATTAAATGCCATCTCTTTTTCTTTTTTGTATACTGCATTATGTCAGTCTAATGATCGTGGGGTTAAATGCCATTCTAAGACATATCTCTTCCAAAGCTGGATCACAAAGCCAAAATACAAATGTATATTCTTCTACTTGTTTTGTATACAAGTTGACATTCATATATGGGTGACATCACCAGGAAAACTCAATTGTCATTTTTCCATATTTTCTGATTCAATACCTTTTACATGTTAGAGAAAAAAAGATTTTTGTTCTCATGTCTCAGGGTGCCATCAAAGAATATTTTAAAGCTAAAATAACCTGTTGTGTAACTACGAACAAATCTCAGACTTTAGACTGATTGACTCTGCTTTTTCATCACAGTGTCCCTGACAGTGATGTTAATTAGGATGATAATGAGAAATAGGACAATGATGATGAAGCAAAAGCAGTGATATCCCTGGCACGCAACATTTATTTTACATGTATTATTGTTACCCCCCTCCCTCTCCTCCTATCCTATCATCATAACAGAAATGGCTCCATGGTACATCAGTTGCTGTCTGCTTTTGTCCCACTGACACCCCAGTGGTGACAGCATTGGGTCTACTCCTTTAAATGAGCCTTTGCGCATAGCCTTCGAATCACCACAACTGCATCAGTGCTGGATGGGTTGCTTAGCAACTGGACAGCACAGAGATCCCTGAAGAAAACCTCCTCCTCTGTATAAAACACCAAGCTTGTATGATTCTTGCATTGTGTGTTTCCAGTAAGCATGTTTATGTTACAAAAAACAAACAAAGAAACGGCTGGTTTGTTCTAAGGAATTAAATAAGTAAAACAAAAATATTGCGCGTATTCATGATGTGTAATGATAGAGGTGCGTGTCTCTCTCAGGGCGCATGGTTTCCAACATTGTAGAAAAGTGGAAGAAATGAATTAAAAGACTCAGTCCTAACACCCTTATGTGTTTTAGAGAGAATAGACAGCGCATGAACAGTTTGTCGCTAAGGAATTCACCTTAGGTGTCCCCCTTTACTCCCCCGGTAGGACATCATTTTAATTTCAACAACAACAACAAAAATCGAAAGGAGACAAGCTTTCCTCATCATGTCTCTCCGGACTGTTGAATGTCTGTCATGTGTGCGCTGTTTGGAGGAGAAGCGGAGCGGACTGCGTTAACGTGTTGAAACGCCATTTAACGTTGGGCAGCGCCAGCGGAGGCAAGTGGACTTTTTCAAAAAGCTTTTGCATCTTTGATATGAAATCTGACGCTGTGATACATGCATCGGCGTATAAGGGGCCATCCATATTTCTCGGCATCTAATTTTTTTTCCACCAGAGGAGTGATATAGCCTTCTCTGACGTCTGCATCAGATATTACCCAGTGCTTTTTCAATGTGCATTTTCCCCTCAGTGACTTTGCGCTGATGTACATCATCAGCAGCAGCAGCAACGGGGGAGAGAGAGAGAAAAAAAAAAAGGAATGAAGATTTCATTTTTCTTTTTTTTAAACCCACCGCTCCCCTTCAGACGACCAGCGTTTCCAGCTCAAACAAATATCTTTTAACAACATCACGTTGTGGAATAGTCTGGCGCCGGAGCATCGCTGGAACCATGCCTCTTCTGCAGATTTGGACTGGGAAATTTCATCCACCAATTTGATCATCGGGAGGCTGCTGCTCAGTCATTCATGCCAGTGTTTGTTTTTTTAAGAGGAAGAATACTTGTCATCACTTTTAAAAGTATTGTGTATGCTGTTTTTTAAGCAAGATGTCTGATCTTCTGGTGTTGGTCGAGGGGCTCTGTGACCTGCACGGATTTCCATAGCCGGGGAAAACAGCGGGGGCCAATTACGAGATTTTTTTTAAATCAAGAACCCTATTTTAATGAAGACATCGCATGCGTAGATGTAGGGTAGATTATTCGACATTTAAAAAAAAGACAATTATCTTTTAATTGCCAATTTTTACTTTGTGCATTTTCTGGAGGACCACTGGACTGGTTGGATTATAGAAACTATATATAAGGATTTGTGGAGATGTTGGGTCGTCAAGAAGATAAAATATGTGGAATTTTCTCTGCTCTGGCGGCTTTGTCCTTCTTCTGCTTTGTTCAAAGGTAAGAAAAACGTCGTTTGAGAAAAAAAATATTAAACAAAGCTTTCACACCAACAGATGTCATTACCGGTCAATAAAAGGCTGAGATGTGGCAAATCGCATTAACGGGGTACCCACTCAGGCCTACTTATTAGGGGCACTGCTGCCGATATATGCCCTATTAGATAGTGCTGTGGCCCGCGCGAGCGTAAAAACATGCGCGTGCACGGTTCCAAGCCTATTGTGAAAACGTATACTCCCGATATCAAAATGGGGATATTGAAAGGGCGACTTTTTGTTTGATCCTGCTTAAAAGGACAGCCCTCTGTAGGCTGCTGTTGGCCGATGATTAGCCGATCAATCAGCCGGGGATCGATTGATTACTCCGGTGTAAGCAGCTTGAGGTATGATACAGTGCAGCAGCAACACTCTGGAATCTACGTATTGCATTTGTCTCCATAAGTAATATTCCACCTCCTATAATCTTTTTAATTCCCCATTTTATTGACCAGAACCAAATCAATCAAATTGAAAAATAATCCCAGCAGGTCATCATATGCTGTTGCTTTCAAGACAGAGGAGGGTGTGAGATATAACGTTTCAATAAATAAGCTCTCATCCATTTGAAATGTTTACAGTATGAATTACTGCATGAACACCATCACAGTCTCCAGATCAATCCCTTTATTGTTTTGATGCTACATGGCGCTGATACATGTCCCTCGTGGCCTACTCCTTTTCCTTGGCTGCAGTAACCTACAGCCTCACTTATGAGATCTAGATGCTCACTGGGAACTGGGTCGCATTTTTCTGATCCCATTTTAATAACCCGGAATAACAAATGAAAGGGGCGTAATCTGGTATCAGGTGTCATTGATATTCCCCCTCCTAATGACGCTCTCAGGTGTCAAACCCACAAGTCCTGTAACCTGCCGGCTTGATGAACAGCTGCACTGCCCATGAGCTAATTGAACAGTGCTTCCCTGACTGAGCCTGACTCCCCCCCCCCCATACACTGATTCCAATCCACACCCTCATCCCTAACAAGGAGCCTCAGCTGGAGAGCCGGCCTGGTCAGGTGATGCAGGTCGTGGCACCAATGTTATAAGTGTCAGTCAGACGAGTGCGGACTATACATTCCTCCTGGGGATAGTCTGTCTGCGGCCCAGGCTCAGACCAACCAAGCCTCTGTTATAACACAGAGCTTATTTAAATACATGCCAACGAATCAGACTTGGTTCTGTGGGAAAAAAACATCACATTGTTCCGTTTCAACGTCTCTTTATGAAAGAGCGACATCAATGAAACACTTGACAGCTGTATCATCATCACAGCCCCTCAACTGATTAGATGCTGGGATACAATGGGGAGGAAAATGCAAACCAAAGGCACATTTTTATAACCTTCACCATGACAACACCAGAGTCAGCATTCTTTTCATTTATTTGTCTGACAACTGACTGCAACATACAAACAGAGAACACCTCTCCCAGCTAAAAGGCTTCACAGTGTCAATGTTTATTCATGCTGTGGCAGCCCGGAATGGAAATGATTGTAGTTGACTAATGGAAAAGACACAATAGGACACATTTATTTCTATTATGTATGTTTTGGGTGCTGTTCAATTAATCCCAAGTTTTATTCCTCTTTCACTGTGCCTCACCACAAGGCTTCTACTTTTAAGGTGGCGTCATTAATGTTGAGAACCGAGAGTATGTGCAGTAATATTTGAGAGTACAGTACGTTTGCTGTAAAAACAATAAGTGTAAAACAAAAGGCTCAGTGTTTTTGCAGTTTCTTTCCCACCACACGTCTTAAAATGGCTCTAAAACTTTGTTATTTTCTGCCCCCAGCTCTTCCACGGGAAGCACCGGAATGTCTGTGGCCAAGACCACCGTGGACAAGTTGCTGAAGGGATATGACATCCGATTGAGGCCTGATTTTGGAGGTACGTGTTGCATCTGTTTCTGGGTTCCCGTTTATTCGAGGGCGAGTGTAAGGCGAGGTGTGTGCACGGCAATATTCACGAGTCATTCCTCTGAAATCTGTCGACGAGCGGGCCTGTGGGAAAATATAATGGAACAGCTTTGATGTGACTGCTACCATGTCATTACTATGCATCTATTCACATATCGAAGATGGCTGCTCCTCAAGAAGTAGGGCACACACGGAGAAGAGCAATCAAACACTACGTTTTTAAAACCCAGATATGGTAAATGTAACGTTTCTTCATCACTTTTCTAATTGGAGGTGTTTTATTGAGTCTTTGTGTTATGTAGCGATGTTTCCGAGCATTTGATTTGCAGATTTGCAGAAAACACTCTTGCCCCATTAACTTTTATTAGAAATTGTGCAACTTGTACATCCGCTCTTTAGAATAATGGTTATTTTGATAATTGCTGAAAATAGAAGGCGTGGGGGACGAGTCATTAGTGTATGTCATTTGGGTTGATTGTTTTACTGAAACTATTTAACCACAATAAATGTTTAGCAATATAAAACTGGTTAGATTTCTCAACAGCATTCTGGTTTATTGCCGAGAGCTAATAACCAGGCTACTTCAATTTCAGAAATAAAGGTATAGGCAATATTTCTTGTTGCAAAGTATGTATGGCCTGAACCTAAAACGTATAGGAGGATTCAAAGAAAATGTTTCCTGTTTCATTGCTCTGGCAATAACATCTGGGGCCCAGTCTGAGCAAGGCCACTCACTGAAGACGTCATAACTCACCGCTGACTGACAGCCACAGTGATGGCTCTAATTGAATAAAGTATGATTGTACCTTTTCATTTCAGCACCAGCTTTATTATTCCTGCTGTACAGATTTAAAAAAAAACGTTGTGTTCAGAAAAGCTTATGGCTGCTTCCAAAAACAAAGAACAAAGGAAGCATTTTACTTCCAGGGCATGTTAACAGAGTGTGATGTTAATTTAATGAGAGCAAGTAACACAACAGTTTGTCTGTCGCCACTAAAATCTGCTCCAGTGTTTCATGGCCAAAATAAAAAAGAAGGCGTAAAAGGAAATAGAAAAACATGCTGAAAACCACTATGCTTGTATTCCTGTGTTAAACCAGAATGACTTTAAATATTATTCAGAAGTCAAAAATATATCTTTCAATGTACTAAAAAATGAAGAATGGTAGGTAAAGATAATGTGGCACAACTCACCCACAAAATATCTGAATATGCAATGCAGTTAACTGATGTATAAAAAAGCCATTCTACAATAAACAAAATCACATGATGTTTACATGATAAATGATGATGGTCAACGCCCGAAGAAATTCCCATATTTAATTCACTTTGGCAGGTTGGCTTTTTCTGTAATACTAAATAATTAATTTGATTTATTATAAGAATATTCCAAATAACTCCAAGTACATGTATATACATTTTGTAATCTGTTTGTTTATTAATATATTTAACAGATGCAATCACATGAATAACTATTAAGCTGATACTTCTCACCAGTATCCTTTCTTAAGGAGCCAGTTAGAGCCTACCTCAAACTTGATGAGAATGAGAGGGAGCAGTGAAACACATATAGCAGGTGTGCCTCCTCAGATAACCTTCCTCTGGTCGGGTGCTCTGCCAAAAACAGATGCTCTGATGAAGGCGTATGTGCCAAAATATGTTAGCCTGATGTTAGCCATTGTAAAAAAAAAGTTATAGTTGAGGTTACATCTTCCTTCTGTGTTTTCGACTGCTGCCATTCCAGAGTTGCTTCATATCTTCAGTGAAAGATATAAGAGCAAGCAGCAAATAGATGTCTCTCTCACAACTCTTTCAGATGCTCAACAACCGTTGTGAAATTTCCACATTTAATTATTTTCAATTGGCAGCCAATTTCTTATCCCTTCTAAGACATATTCACACTTTACTGTGCCTTACTAAAGGCATTTCCTGTAGCGCTTTCATGACAGTTGACAGCAATTTTAACCAATATAAATGACTTGAGAGTTTTTGTCGTCCACACCAGCGACAGTGTTCGTCGTTCACCAGTTCTTCAATTCAAAGCAGAAAAAACGACTAAATGTAACCCAGAACGGCTCAATCTTTGTGCCGCATTTTTGTTGAAAAAACAGCCGTCAGATATGAAAAAAGCTACCTTTTTATATAGAATCACACAATTTAAAACTTACTGCGATAAACACCTGGTCCACAATGATTCATGAACAATGCATTAATAATCAGCACAAGATTTGATAAAGATGCATATTTACTGTATATTTCAACGCATTTACGTAAATACATCACTTTCTCCCAATAACACGACTGTGATTTGTCACTGTGATTTTAAGGAAATGGAAGAGAAATTGTTCTAATTTAGTTTTCTAGATCAAGTTATTTTCTGATTTATACATCAGTATTGGCAGCTTTTTTAGACGATGATTCCCACACACTATCTTGCTGTATTTAAATATTTGTCGGCTACAGCCCACTATTGTCTAGCAGTGTGAATGCACTGGAGTGGGTGCAAGTTTTAAAGAGTATCCCAGGCTGAGAGTAGCTGTTCATTACCCTCAGGCTGGGAGCTATAGTCCATCATGTCTTGATATTTCCAACATCAGTCAGCTACTTCTGTCGTGACACAACTGCTGACGACCTTCAGCTCTCCAGATTCAACGAAGAGTGTTTTAATTTGGAACAATGCCCTGCCAACACCCATATTTGAAATAAAAACTGAATCACTGGACGTTGATTAAATATTTGAATGATCAGAAAGAGGCTGCCAAAAGTGATGCAATAGGATTTTACTCATGTGTTGTGGCCTTAGCACCAGTATATTAAAATGAAAAGCCCACTCTGCAGTCATTCTATTCAGACTCTGCCCTCTTCTCCCTATTGATCTGTGAGCCAAACAGGAATTCAAGAAATGGTACACAGACCCAAAGAGCTGCTAGCCCAGCATTCAGCGTCTTGCAAGAGAAGTGAAATGCGTGTCTTCTAGTTATTATAATTATCTAATTTTCTGAAAATACTCTAGGATGTATCCACTTTGTGATATTTTCCCAGAATAATGTATCAGTTGCAAATGGTCCTTGTATCTTTTCTCTTTCATCATCTGCTTTGTTTAGATCATAGCCCTTGGATGTAATTTACTAACAAATTGGCCATCGTCATAGAGCTGAATCATAGAAAACAACCCCCATGTAACCTTAGTGATGCATTGCGTAGATGTAGATTCAGCGAGATGACCAGAGCATTGCTGACCCGGCTAACAAAGTTAGAGAACAGCAGCGATGTTTCATTTTTATTTTAATCACTTGAGAGAGATATGACAGTATGCAATTCAAACATGTGCATACTGGTATAATGTATCTTTAATACACTACACTTTCTAAGAAACCAGTGTTTTTGGTACGCAAAATTAAACTAGAACATAAATGGGAGATAGATTCCTCTTTAGGGAGCCGATTCTAGACAATGCATGAGGATATGTTTGGATAATGCGGGCTGTTTGGGAATGTCAGTTAATTTGTGTAGGGAACAAAAGCTTATCAGGAGAATGGGGAGAGATTGGAACACTGGGACATTGCTAATGGGATTACAGATGAGGTTAAGAAGAGCGCTATTCTACTCGGCTTTTCTGGTGTGTGCGATATACCATATGAGGAAGTGTTCTCTGAACTACATGGTATGAAGCCCTTGGTAGTTCAATATCAAAGTTCACAGCCATTCCAGTAGGTCCAGCGTAGAATATATTGTGGCAGATTTGCACCAGCTCTTTGACTTTTACGTTGTGTTTGATAACATGCTCTAAGACAGGCTAGTGAAGGTTTCATGAGGACTGCATACAGTACAGTGCCTTCTGTTGGGAGAGTGTCCATCCCTGATTTTCGAGAAAGCACTTGAGATTCTACAGGGACCTAATGACGGTGGCAAAACATGCAACACATATTCAGAGGGGACAAGGAGGAGTTTAAATGTCCAGGGTCATTACATTTGAGACTGATTTGTGGTATCATTATCAGTCATCATGATTGGCCCTGATTGGCTCAGAGAACTAACTGAATTGGCGACAATTCAAGTACAGCACTATATCCAAGATACTATGAGGTTTTTGAGAAGGCACTGGGCACACTCAGGGGTTTTAAATTGAGGAAGCACATCGATCAAGAGGCCTACCGATACTTTTACAAGCCTAGTGTGCACTTTATACCATGAAAGGAACATTATAAAAATAGTTGAAGCATTCGCACAGACTGAGTATGTGCCAGTTCATCTTTCCAAGAGGGTGGCATCCATTGTATTAGAAGAAAGAAAAAATTGACGTTAGAATAACATACACCGCAATCACCTGCAGATGAGGCCAACCATTGTGAGCCAGTCTGCTGGTTTTCCAGCCAACCGAATAATACCCTCACTGATTACTACTAACTACTTAAAGTAGAGGAGAAGAAGCCATCGGTAAATTCACCTGCTGAGGTAATCAGATTGTTGGGCCTCAATGGCTCATGGTTGGCCATTCTTGGATTATTATAAGTGTTAGTTGAAGTAGGGGTTAGATGGGAAGCGAATGACCTTATCCTGGATTCAACCTTTGGAGAACCATAATGGTTGTCCCTCCCTGTGACTGATGGTCTACAGATAATGGATAACATACCTACAAAATAATGTAGATGCCCAATTGTATGTCTGGTGGCCAACATAGACAAAAAGGTAGCGAACAAATCTATCAAAGAATGGTTTCACCACGTCCTTACACGCCTTAGCCAGTCCATAAAAAAATGGCTTTCCTGAATTGTCCATGAAATTGTGGACGCTCATTCAGAGACAATTGATGGCCCCATCACAACAAAGTGTTTTCAGTCCATGCTCTGCCCGACACTGCAGTGACAGGCAATGGAACAGCACTCACCTGTGACCTTCTATAGTGAGTTCATGAAACAGAATGGTATTATTTATGTGAGTACTGTTTATTGTTTTACCTTCCCCCTACTGG